CCTTCTTCTTTCCTCCTGCTCCATCAGCCTGGCCCCTTCTCCCCCGCATCCTCCCACCAGCCCAGGCCCTTTCTCTCCCCTCCAACCCTAACCCCCGTTGCTCCTGGCCACAGCGTGCGCCAGGCCCAGCTCTAATCCCAGCAGCTGGGGAGGCGCATGGGTGCCTGCCTGCGTGGGGCACAGTGAGACACAGGAAGTGCCGTGTGCACGCGGTGCTCCAGGGCACTGCAGCCTGCTGAGGTGGGGAAAGCAGCAGCGCAGGGAGCCCCAGTCCTGCTCTCTCCCCCGGGCAGTCCCACCTGTGCTGCTCACTGCCCCAGCCCTGCCCGTAGAGCCCAGGGCCACCCACAGGGAGCAGAAGAGAAGGAGCAGTCAGGTCACTGCGGTGGCTCCCCCATGCAGCTCAGGGGTGCTCTGCCGCTGCAGTAAGTGCAGCCGCTGGGGAGGGGTGAGTCTCTATGGGGGCAGCCGGACTCCAGGCAGTTGGGCACCACGCTCTGGTCCCTCAAAAGCCTGCTTCTGGCACAGAGCCCAGCAGGGAGCCCTGCGCCTAGCGCCTGCCCCCAGGCTGCTATCCAGTGGAGCACTGTACCCTCTGTCCCTTTGGCTGCCACGGCTGCAGTGGGGGGGCTCGTTGAAAGCCCTGTGGGGTGAGGGGTGGGGGTGGAGGAAGGGGAGTAGAGGCTTGTTTTCAAATAGCAATTCCAAGTGGTGAGTGGAAGTAGCAAGATCAGGCTTGAGTTGGAGGAGGGGGGAGGGAGAGAGAGGGAGGAAGCAGGTGGGACTCAGAGTGACATAATGACATTACTCTGTTGTCCCACCTGAATTTTTTTTAATATAAAGACAATTTTAATATATAGACATGTTTATGCCTCATAGCCAGAGCAGCTATCAAAGAGCAGGCTGAATTCTATTCTGTCTAGCATACCATCCACCAAATGTTAATCTACATTCTGATTGGAGGAAGAACACAATATCATTTTCTAATGCCAGCTTGAGGTTGCTGCACTAACAATTAAGAAGACAAAGGGGATATGGAAGTCACAAGCAGAGGAGATATCCATAACCCTTCAGTCTTGTGTGCACAGTCAGTATTTTGAGTGCTAATGCACTATAAGGACTACATGAATTGTCTCTATTTCCAATAAGGGCATGACCATGAAATGATTGTAATTAATTTGTTAAACATTAAAACCATTTTCACTGCTATAGAAGAGAGTCCCTGAACAGAAAAGCTGATGGTGTAAATAGAAAGTAATAGAAATGACCAATAGAAAAGACCTTGTGGGATACCTTTTCCACACTTTCCAACCCATGCAATGTAGTCAGAAAGCTGCCTGGTCAAGCACAGAAATGAGACTCAAACCAAAGAAAGGTGGGAAGCAAAAAAAGGAATCTGGACTATAAAGAAGATCAGTGGCAATTATGTGGCTAACAGTCTTCAGTCTTTCCAAAGTAAGTAGTACTCTTACTTTGGAAATGGACTATGTCAGGGGCAAGGAAAGCAAAAACACTATGGCTCGTCCATGTTATTTCTGAGTGCATGATATATTGCTGGAAGGGTGTAGCTATATGATTTTAGTCTTCATTTCCTAAGTCAGAGAAGAACTTCCTATTAGTCTCTAATGCTGATTTCTAACAGACTTTCCTTTAATGGATTTAGTGACTCTAGGGACAAAGGGTTTTTTCTTTTACATTGAATATAGTCAAATGGTGAATAGTAGCTAGAGAATTTTTCTCAAAGTTAGTGGACTTTCAGGCATCATGATTTGTACCCCTCTCTAATTCTATTGTACTTTTAACGGCTTTTGTGTCTGTAAGGGGAATTCCAGCTATGTTGTAGACGCAATAGTAAGAGGTGATTTAAAGCTGTTTAATAGGAAATTTAAGAGTTGAACACTTAGTAAAGATGAAAAGCTACTCTACTGTATCACCTAGGGGCTGAGAATAAAGAATTAACGGAACACACTGACCCATCTGTAGCTACAAAAACCAAACCAGTGATTTCAGCTCTCCATGATTTCAACTCTTTAGCCACCAGCTGGACTGGCAAAGGAATCCAGCTTCCACTGGACTAGCAAAAGAAAAGACTCCTCAGGGAGTCTGCTTTAGGTCTGTCCTTAAAACAAAAGGAGAAAGGGGCAGGTTGGGCCAGTCTTATAGCTCACACCTGACAGGTGTGAAGCAGGCTGACTCAAGCCCTTTAACCCGTTCCCCCAGCTCAGTTTACTCAACTCTGGAAGGGGGGAGGCTTGTTCCTCCGAGACCTCTTGCCATGATGGTGGTGTCTCTCCTGCAAGCACTGGTGGCATGTTTTACAGTTCCCACATTTATAGGTAGCATGATTAGTGACCCCCCACAACAGTCCCAAATTATATACAATTCTCCACATTTCATTCCAACAGTGATCCTCCATCAGCCCTGGCTGAATGGGATTTACATAGCCACACCTCAGATTCTCTCCTGAGCTGTATTTACATATCAACAGTTAACAGTTAATTACCTTGTAGAGCTAAACAATTGTAGTGGGCACACCCACCCCTCCTTTTAGCTGGCTGAGAGCAAGCAGCAGTTTAGCCCCTGCTTACATCCTCAATTCAAACACTTCAGATACAACATTTCAAACAAAGAAATCTCTCAGCCAGTCTTAAATTTGGCACAGCCCCACAAGGAACTGTCTCTTTCTGCCATCCTAAGCAGCTGGAGAAGATGTAAAGCCTGCACTGGCTTCTCCAAAGGAGAACCAAGCCTTCCAGCTGGGCCTTCTTAACCAGTCCCAGACCCTTCAGGGACCTACTGCAGGAGACCCTTTATCCCTGCAGCTTTACTGCACACCTTGTAGCTCTGTCTTTAGCACTTTAAAGACTAACAAGATGATTTATTAGGCGATGAGCTTTCGTGGGCCAGACCCACTTCCTCAGATCAAATAGTGGAAGAAAATTGGCATGACCATATATACCAAAGGATACGATAAAAAAAATGAACACATATGAAAAGGACAATTATATTTAATTTCATAAATAATTTCATAAATTTCGTCCAGAAATATAATTTATGCTATCATGTGCCAAAAGTGTCCGTCTGCTATGTACTTTGGACAAATGTCTCAGCCACTTCGCCAAAGAATCAATGCCCACAAAACAGATATTAGACAGGATCACAAAGAAAAAACAGTTTCTTGCCATTTCAACCAGAAAGGACATTGTCTCAACGACTTGATTACTTGCATCCTGCTTCAAAGACCTTTTCGCACCATACTTGAAAGAAAATCCTCTGAACTGTCATTCATGCTTAAATTCGACATTTTACGCCTCGGTCTAAACAAAGACATTAATTATCTTACCCATTACAAAGATAGCTTCCCCAATTATCACCTCTAATATCATTAGCTCACAGACAGTTACTTCCCTCCCCTCATCCCCCTTCTGTTCTGAAATTTGATTTGTCCTTTTCATATGTGTTCATTTTTTTTTATCGTATCCTTTGGTATATATGGTCATGCCAATTTTCTTCCACTATTTGATCTGAGGAAGTGGGTCTGGCCCACGAAAGCTCATCACCTAATAAACCATCTTGTTCGTTTTTAAAGTGCTACATAGTCCTGTTTTTTGTACCACAACCTGTATTTCTGTTTGGTTGTTTCAGACCGTGACTGACACCAACACACAGTAATATTAAGTTATTAAGAAAGGGGTGCTTGTGAAGATCTAAGCTATAGCTGTCAAATATTCAGTCACTCTGAGGGAGATATTTCTAGAAGAGGGAAGCTGCCTTAAAAGGTTTTTAATATTTAGAGATGGTGGCATATTAAAAAGATTTTCATCCCAGCTGAACAGTGTTCCACAATGATATGCTGCCTTTACTGTCTTTCCCCTCACCCCAGTCCCCAGCCCGAGGAGGACACACACATGGAAAAGACTTAGGCACAACTGTTGGGAAAAAGTAGTATCTAGGTATGTTCACAGTAGACTCTCGAGGGTGCATTTTAAAAAAAAAAAAAAAGAAAAATGCATTCTTATATTGCATGCGCAGAATATCCTGAAACAAACCTTAATGCACAAGCAACAGTTGAATGTTCTTTATCTGGGTTCAACTGTGATAGATAAGAGATAAAGAGATAACAAAGAACCTGGACTTGCATGAATTGAGAGGAGAAAATGAGGATGCTGAAGGAGAACATGGCGGATGCAAAAGGGGCCAGGAGTATTGGGCGGGCAGTGGGGCAGAAGAAAGAAGGAATATGAAGGAAGAAAATGTCAGATGAGGAGGGCGAAATGATGAATGGAAAGATAAACTGAAGCAAGAAGCCAATTCAGATACGAAAGTTTCTTGAAGTAAAAGGAGTTATGAAGAGAATGTTTTCAAAAAGTCTGAAAAAAAAAGTGGAGGACAGAAAGAAGATGGTGAAAAAGATTAAAGAATAGATACACAGTAGAAGGAAAGCAAAATAGAAATGAGATGAAAGTACAAATGAAGGATGACAGTATATTCATTCATTTTATTTGTGTTGATCCAGAAATATGATAACATTCCATGGCTTTTTTCTCTGTTTGGTTGTGTATACAGAGACACACATACTAGATACTTGGAAAGCTATGCACTTTCCTTGTGTTGTAAATGTGAATTTATACTCCTGAGTCTTTTCTTTGAAAGCAAGACAAGCAAACTGTGGGGAAGGGGTGAGGCAGTTTTCAGACTAAATGGGCCCAAATCTTTCCATCATGTTATATGCATGAAATGTCACTGTTCTTTCATAATCGGGATATTTATGAAATAAATGAACAAAAAGCCAGAGTTTTTGGGAAGTATTTCAATAAATGCTGATGAAAGAGATAATACTTACTAGTCAACTCTTTCCAGGTGCATCTGAGTTCATGGCCATCATGTTTCTTCCCTTGTTTTAACACTTTCCTTTGGATTCATGCTGAGAGGAGGATAAGAGTTTCCTCATTGGCTGAAAGGCTGAGAATTTTATGTCTGTCTTTTCTTGTTTCTTTTAGGGAGCTCTTGCTGTCTGTGGCTCTTGGCCAGGTTTTGTCCCTTCTTATCTGTGGCATTGGCCTTACCAGCAAGTATTTGTCTGAGGATTTCCATGCCAACACTCCTGTTTTCCAGAGCTTCCTCAATTACATTCTCCTGTTTCTGGTCTATACTACAACACTAGCTGTGAGACAAGGTAAGTACCATTCTTTGTAAAGGAAGTAGCTTCTTTAAGCTATTGTAGAATCTAGTCCAGTGGTCCTGAAACTTTTCACCTCACCCCTACCCCCTGCCACCTGGAACTAGGGCCAGGAGCAGGGCCATAGCTCTAGAGTGGGATGGGGGTGACATGGGCAGGTGTGACGGGGTCAAGGCCGGCAGCTGGTGCCCCGGGGGCTGAGGCTGGAGCTAGGGGGTGCTCACTCCCTGGCCCCCATCAGGGCTTAACCACTGTGCCCCCCCCAAACATTCTTTTGCATCTCCTGGGGTTCCACCCCACAGATTGGGAACCTCTGATCCAGTTGCGATGGACAACATTTTCAAAAGCACTGAAATTCTGTTTTTTTAAATGCACCTAAATCACTCACCAGCCTAAACTCTATTGCCTTTCTTTGAATTTGTCTTAGGCTCAGATTTTTTTTAACGTATTTAGGTATTGCTGTGCTTCACATAGCAAAATGATTTAGGAGCCCAAAGCTCATTTTCAGCCTTAATCCTTTTTTAAAATGAGCTTTGGGTTCCTAAATCATTCAGGTGTTGCAATGCTAAACACAGCAGTGCCTAAATACAAATATAATTAAAATATCTGGGCCTAAGTTGCATGTAATGAAAGGCAATGGAATTTAGGCTCTTGAGTGACTTTGATGCTTTTGAAAATGTTACTTTTAATGACAGTCTTATTCTGTTTATATTAACTGATCCTTTTGTCCAGAACACACTAAAAAACACATACTTTGTGGTAGGGCTGTCAATTATTCATAGTTAACTCATGAAATTAATTAAAAAATGAATCGTGATTAGGCGCACTGTTAAATAATACTAATTGAAATGTATGAAGGTAAAGAATGCCAATTGACATTTATTAAATAGTGTTGGATGTTTTTGTACATTTTCAAATATATTGAATTCTGTTACAGCAAGGAATGCAAATACTATATTTTTATAACAAATATTTGCACTATAAAAATGATAAGCAAAGGAAATACAGGTTGGACCTCCCTGGTCTGGTACCCTCTTGACCTGACCGGTCCCTACTGAGGGATTTTGCCAGACCAGAGGACCCCCACCACTGGCCTCCCAGCGAGCCGCCCCTCTCTACTGCCAGCCTGGCCACGGAGCTCCGACCCTGGCGGATCCAAAGCTGCCTCTGCCCACTGCTGCCAATTCACCTTATACAAGCACTATAGTGCAATCTCTTTTTGTGAAAGCATATCTTACAAAGAGGGTCTTGTTATATAAAAGCAATGTGAAACTTTAGTGCTTACAATTCCACTCAGTCCTACTTCTTGTTCAACTAATCCCTCGGACTAGTCTGATTACAATTCACCGTAGGTGATGTTGCTTCACTTCTTCTTTACAATGTTACCTGAATGGGAGAACAGGTGTCCGCATGGCACTCTTGGGGTATGTCTACACTAGCCCCCTAAATCGAACTACCTGATATTCCTCCTGCAAGGAGGTTTAACAGGTAGTTCAATTTAGGGGCTTTAATTCGAAATACCGGGTCCCTGTCGCATGTAGACACGGGCAGTTAGTCCGGACTTGTAAATTTCAAAAATGGCGACCGGCTGGGAAGATGCAAATGAAGCCCGGGATATTTAAATCCTGGGCTTGATTTGCAACTTCGAATGCCTACATTAGCCTCCCTAGTTCTAACTAGTGGGCTAGCGTAGACATACCCTAACTCTGCAGAAGATCCTAATACAATATGAAAATATAGTGTACCAGAAGCATACAGTTTTTCCTTGGGTATGAAAGCTTAATAATTGGCTCATTCACTGATAGACAGGTATCTAGTCTTAAAATTTAAAGAAAGAAGGTTTCATTTTGCAAATTAAACTATTGGTACACAGGCTCACATTTAATACTCTATGGCCAGGAATGATCGTACAGTAAGAGACTATCCCTGCCCTGAAGGGCCATCAGGCTGAATAAACAAAACAGAAAAGGGCTGGGAGAATGTAAAATGAGCAACTGACACACAGAAAGAGTAAGTTACTTGCCCAATGTAATAATGGAAATCTGTAGTAGAGCTGGCGAGTTAGGCCAAACCCCATGTAATGGTATTTGAATGAATCCTGGTTTTCTTCACTTAGCAGTGTTTGGTTCCAGTAGGAAGAACTGTCACAAAGCAAGCTGGGAGTGAGTAGGAGTTGGTGTTGTATGCAGAATTATTCTAGAGGGGAGGGCGTGGGTAATGAGGGAGGATGACCCACAGGCACAGTGATCATGGAAGGTGTTTAAAGAGCTAATGTTTAAAGCTGAAACAGAGAAGAATGATATGAAAAATTGGTGGGCACCCACTGAATAGCCAGGAAGAAATGTCTGGAATTGGCAGGATGCCCAGAAAAATCACGGACAAGAAATGGACACAAGCAGGGAAAGCAGCAATCCAAATACAGTCCATAAAATTCCTACAGCTCTCTACAGCAGCACATGGCCATTTCATTTATTGTCCATTTAATGCTGCCATGTGACAGAACCCTGTTGGGCTGAGATTCCCTTACTCAGCAGATGGGTAAGTATCTATTTAGGCAGAATGCTCATCAAGTAGCGATAGGTTACTTGGAAGTGGGAAGCTCATTAGGACAATCTCATCATTGTTACCTCCTCTACCTGACTGCTCAGCTTCCACCTCCCTTTGTTACACAAGCTTATAAACATTTTTGGGGTATCTTTTATTAGACATCTCATTTCCATGTTAATGCTACAAGTACAGTGTTAGTTCAATCCAGTCTTTTATGGCTATTTTTTAGTTAATTTCTTTTCTTCTTACATATTTTACAATTTCTTATACGTATTCAGTTCTACTGATATCTGTGCTGTTAAACATTATCATGACAGTCTCTTAAAATCCACAACAGGCTTCTGTGAGGCCTAAATATGGCTTTGTTCGCAACAAGCCCCACATTGGACTTTTGCTTCTGTATTTATTTATTTTCTTTCTTTGTGTGTGTTAGACTAGAGAAGTTCTTCTAGCCTCTCTAATTGTTTGGCATCATTAACAGATGAAAACCACTTAGTAATTATATTAATTTTGTATAGAGTGATTCATGAGTGCTGGGAACATCAGCTTCTTTCTAGCTTAGCTTCTTTTATTCCCTATGTAAAATTTAAGATTCCTTAAATGACCCCATCTTTCTCTTTCAGAAATGAAAGCATGAAAACTTCTTTAGAAGTCAACAATAACATCATCCCTATTTTTTCTTTGGGTTGCCCTCTGAATGGATAAATGGATTAGGAGAACTACAGTATAGGCACAGAGGCATTCACTTGAGAAGCTAAACAGAATTTCACTGCACAACTGCAACACTGGCTTCCAATGACTTTTTGGTGGCATCCTTAACATCCCTGCCTGGGGCTCCCCTTTCTTTACTGAGCATTTCCAAAACTAGATTTGTCCTGAATCCCATTTGGAAAAAATCATATAATCTCAGGAGGGCAGATTCTGCCTTTAATCATACTGAGTAATGCCTTACTCTGTGATGATTTAAATAAGACAATATGGTCAATATGTCCTGCCCAGCATACACAGGGTGGGCAAAGTTCAGGGCAATAACTTTCTGTTTCAGAAGAGTTTGTATGAATGTACCTAAAGTGGGATGAACCCTCCTCCTATATTGCTAAATGGTGAAGTCCTGACAAACATCAATGGAAATATAATTCTTCCTGAAGTCCCTGTAATGTCTTAAATTTGGCATATAACCTGTACCATGGAAATGAGTTACAGACTCCTGAAAGACTATAGTTTGTACCTTCAGAGTCCAGCACTCTCTGATCCGGTAGGACCATGGATGCTCCTGGGTGAGAGAGTCTGGGAGCCTAAGGACAGGAAGGCCTGAGGGCATCAGGGCCAGCAGCCCAGCTGGGGACAGCACAAGACTGGGGCCCGAGCCCAGCAGCATTCTTCAGCAGCCCCTGGGAATATGGGGCTGAGGCCGGAGCCTCATCACAGTGTGGGGTTGGAGTCCCCAAGGCAAACCCCAGGAGAGTGGGACCAGAGCCCCATATCTTTCCCCAGCTGCGCTGTTCTGTGGCCGAGGCTATGCAGAGCCAGGGTTGGAGCTCCAGCCCTGCAGCTGTCCTAGGCTGCGCAGGACCAGAGCCCCACAGCAGAAGCCGGAGCCTGTGCAGCCCAGCCAGGTTCAGGGGGCAAAAACGAGGCAGGGTTGCCTGCTGGGGCAGCCTGCCAGCAGTGGTAATGGGCTTGGGGACTGGTAGCAGGAGACCTCCCGTAGTCTGGCAAATTGTCTTGTTTGGGGCCGGTCAGGTTCCGATGATGCCAGACCAGGGAGGTCCAACCTTTATTAACAGCTGAAATCATCTGCCACATGTTATTGGACAGTTTATCTTCTATCCGTTTTCTTCTTGGATTTGACCTATGACCTCAGGGCATTAATATGTGCACTCCTAATTTACTGATTACTTAAATGGGTTCTTCCACTTTTACAAACAGTATGTTTTAGCAAAACGACAACCTTTGCAGGAGCCGCTCTGTTTCACTGTACTGTACATCTGTTGCTTGGTGAGCAGTCAAAACAACGTATGTCTTTTCTTGGTCATTTTCATTCTAGAAATTACACTGCATTTATCTTTATTCATTTATTAAGGGTTAGATCCTATAGTTTAGATCACACAGGTTTCCCCCATTAGATCTCCAAGGCACCTCTGTATTTGGGTTACACATAATAAAGTGGCCGGGACATGCAGGAACATTTTCAATAAAATGTGGTTTTATCTAATTGGTTGTTTTGACAGACTAAATGTTTTGCAGAAGCATATTGATTTGGCTAAAGTTTTCAAAAGAAAGGTTTCTGCAGTCCAGGACTTTCAGGCTACGGCTACACTACAGGCTTTGCCGGAAGAGGCAATGCAAATGAAGCGCTGATTAGCATTTTCTCGCACTTCATTTGCAGGAGAGGCATAAGAATCTTGTGCAAAAAGGGGTGTTTGCACAAAAAGAAAATGTCCACACTG